AGAGGAGGACAAATATGTCCCCTGCTCTGCTATTTACCACAATCCTTCACTTCCTCCAGAGCCTTAGAGCACGTAGGGCCTTTGCACACTCTTCGCACATCCCTCTGTGCTATTTTCGGGCTGTTGCATAAACAGGCATTTGTTCTCCCTGTAGGTGCACGGAGTCCTGCGGGTGCAGTGGCTGACAGCTGGACCACTCTGCAGGAGAAAAACGTGGCCGTCTGCTTCTACAGAGATCTACGGCTTTGGAAACACTGTAGAGAAGTTCTACTGTGCCCTATAGGGCTACTATGAGTCAGACCCAACCAGATAGCAAGAGGCTTGGGTGGGCTCAAGGACCCATGGGGCAGGGAGAGCGTTCCATATGACTTCTGCAAGCCTGCCTGTCTCACGCTGGCCACTAAAAGGCAATCACTTGTTTGCATAAAGGAACCCATCTGGTCTGTTGTCTAAAGCTGGGTAAGAACCAGTACTGTCCCGGACAGAGGGTGGTAGATGGGTCTCAGATGAGGCCGTGAATCAATCATGAAGTATTTACCACGCAGTCATTTATTTAAGAGCATTGCTTTGCAAAAACCATGTAAGGTCATTTATGTAATGGTAAATTGACAAGAGATCTAAGTCAAGAACCTGCAATGAAAAGAGCCAGAGTTTTTAAATCACTTGGCTGAGCAGAAAAAAATGTTAATTTTCAGGAATTATGGTATTACCGACCTTGAGTCTTAACCCCGTCACAGAGGGATTAAGAACATGGACTCCCCAGTGCCAAGTCTTCAATGAATCTTAGCTCTGCCCCTGGCTAGAGGCACTACCTTGGGCAAAGTATGTAACTTCTTGTGACTATACATCTGTAAACTGGGGATACGTCTCTTAACGTTATCGTGAGGATTAAATGGCCTTAAAAGAAGATGTTGGAACTTACAAAACACTAAGCAGTGTTATTAAAAATGGTTTTCATCACCATCTAGTAATTTAATCGAGTGCCTTAAGAAGACACACACTGCAAAGCAGCGAGCGCTGGCGTGCTGTATTCGGTTATAATCTGCTTTCATGTAAGTTTCCTCATTTTGACAGCAAAATGGAGTGGCTCCACTGGGTTTAATTCCAATTCTTTCTTGCACTCATTTTAAACCCCCCAGAAAATGGCTATTTCAGCTCTGTGTCTGGTTTCCACTTAGCCCTTGGAAGGAGTTACTGAAAACCCCACCTCTACAGAACTGTCCTGCTGCTTCCCTTCGAGTGGAGCGACTTGGAGTCCAGGACACAGCCGTTTGGTTTCCATTTTCTAATACACAAACACTTCATTGTGCAGCACATGCCAGTGATCTAAAGGCACACTGTTCTGCTCCTCCGTGCTCTGTTCTACTTTTAACTCTGTGGCGATTAAGTTTCCTGTCTTGTATAACAAACATCTCTCCGTTTATTGGGAGCACCCAAACAAGCTAGTTGCTCTTAAGCTTTCTAAAAGTTAATCAGGTATCTCTCCAATCACTAAAACATAAAATTCAAATTCAAACCAAAAATGCTTCTAGTTACACTGAATATTCTTCTCCTCACATGCGAAAAAACTACCATGTAAAATATAATTCCATTTTTAATACAAACAGAAAACTCTGAATGCATGACTGAGTTATTAAATGAATTGGCTGAGATTAATAACAGCTTGATAACTTTCTCTTCATTAATACAACCAACTTTTCTCTCTTTTGAGGCCTAATAGTTTAGTGTAAAGGGGCAGAAAGCCCACCCCACCACTTACTAGGTCCCTAGGTGATGAAAACCATTTGTTCTTGACCCCTAACCAGAAGGCTCGAAGTTAGCACCCACTCTGGAGTGCTAGATGAAAGCTTTAACACAAAAGGGACTCTACATATGGATTTTTCTAGATGAAATATGCAGAGATAAAATCGACTACATCTGTGGGAAGTGGGAAGTTAAAACCAGGCAGGGGGCTGACTGTGGAATGGACCATCAATTGCTTAGGCAGTTGTGTGAACAGAACCAGGGACTATGGCATGATTTAAAATCAGGAAGGATATATGTCAGGATTGTATACTCTCACCACACTTACTCAATCTGTATGCTGAGAAGCTAGATTATATGATTTAGACTTGGCATCAGGATTAGAGGGAGGTTTACTAACAACCTGCAATATGCAGATGACACATCCTGGTTTGCTGAGTGAGAAATTGAAGCGCACACTGATAAAGATTAAGGATTGCAGCCTTCAGTATAGATTACAACTCAATGTAAAGCGAGGAAAAAATCCTCGTAACTAGACCAATAGGTAACACAGGATAAATGTACTAAAGAATGAAGTTGTCAAGGATTTCATCTTGCTTGGATTCGCAATCACTGCTTATGAAAAGCAACAGTCAAAAGATCAAATGATGAGTTGCATTGGGTAAACCTGCTACACACACACACACACACACACACACACACACACACACACACACACAAGAACTCTTTAGAGTATTGCACAGCCAGGATATTACTTTGAAGACTAAGGTGCTCCTGACGCAAGCCATGGTATTTTCAATGGCCTCGTATGCATGTGAAAGTTGGGCAATGAATAAGGAAGACCAAAGAAAAATCAATGCATTTGACCTCTGGTGCCGGCGAAGAATATTCGAAGTACCATGGACTGCCAAAAGAACAAACAGATCTGTGTTGGAAAAAGTACAGCTAGAATGCTCCTTAGAGGCAAGGATAACAAGTCATGTACTTTGGACATGATTCTGGAGGAGGACATCATGCTTGGCAGAGCAGAGGGGAAGGGAAAGAGGTGCAAGCCCTTGACAGGATGGGATTACCACAGTGGCTGGGACATAAGAACAATTGTGAGGACGGCACTGGGCCTGGTGGGATTTCGTGCTGGTGTACACAGCTTTCTATGAACTGGAACTCACTTGATGGTACCTAACAGCCACAGCAGCTGTTCTGCAGAAACAAAAAGCCATGACCTGCTTTTGTAAAGATTTTATTCAAGGAAGCCCTTTGGAGCAGTTCTGCTTTGTAACACATGGGGCAGCCATGAGCTGGAATCAACTCCACAGCAAGGGGCTCTTTTTGGCTTTGTTTCATTTGCTTGCTTTTTCTCCTATTCACAGGATGCACAGCCTACATGGGGGACACACATCTTTTAAATGTATCATGAGTACTAGACTGACTTAAGAGTATGTACACATCCAGATTTCTGGTATTTGAGTATCATCTGAGTCATATAATACCAGTGGTATTCATTACTCAGATAACTTCTCACTACCACTGAGTCGATTCTGACTCATAGAGACCCTACAGGGCAGGGTAGAACTGCCCCTGTGGAAACTTTACAGGGAAGAAGACCGCATCCTTTTCTGGAAGAGTCGCTAGTGGTTTCAAACTCCTGACCTTGCAGCTAGCAGCCCAACAGGTAACCCTAAGCCAGTGGTTCGCCACCTTCCTAATGCCACGACGCTTTAAAACAATTCCTCATGCTGTGCTGACGCCCCAACCATAAAATTATTTTCGTTGCTACTTCGTTGCTGTACTACCCAATAACCTGAATTGGGAAGGGAGCACCCTACCATCTGGCAAACACCCTGAGCCCTATCTGGCAGCAGCAGTAAGAACTTGGCTCTCACCTGCCGCAACTACACCCAAGAGAAATAGCACTGCTTCGCCCGATGATCCTGCCTTTCAGCTGATCTCCGTTTTCTCCCAAATGGTTAACAAATCATTTGCCTTGACCCATACTTCTTCCTGGGCCTGTTCCCCAAAACCCCATGACTGTGACCCTGAACCGGAATCTAAATAAACAGAGCTTAACACACTTCTCTGTGTTATCTGCTGCTTACATAAGAGGCTTCATAATAGGTTTGAAAAATAATAATCTACAAATACTCAGGTGTCAGGGCATAAAGAGATCCTCTGGAGTTTGGCTGCTTTTATTAGTTTCTGTAAAGCATTCTTTCCTGTGTCGACCCAGAACTCCAGAGGCCACATCTGCCCCCAGAACATGCAATCATAATCACTATTTTGATAAGGGCGCTTATTTCTAGCTATATCTGACATGGCTTTAATTTGCTTAAGAGTGCAGCTGCTGAAATCCAGAATACTCCCTCCAGAGTCCTCTTAGGTCAGCTGGGATGACCAGGAGGCTGTCGTTCATGTTTGTCCCTGGAGTCTCCATTTCTTGTTCCGAGTTTCACACACAGAAAGCTGTACAGCTGCCAACTTACAAAGACACTCTTGAAACGCTCTAATTTCATAAGCCTGGCGTGACTTTACAACCACTACTTCTAAAATTCAAATAAACATAAAGGTCATATTATAAAACTTTGACTTTTCAGTTACTCTCATATCCCTGTATGTTTAAGACATGTTTCAGAAAATTTCAAAGGAAAAAATTAATCTCTTCGTATGTGATGAGGACATATTTGATTCTATTTAATAATAAGTACTTAATTGTTGGTTTAAAAAAAAGACTAAAAGACCAATTGATTAATATTTACAATGATTCTGATGCACATTCATTTATGTACCCTTCTAAATAGCTCCTCGGTTGATTGATGTGCACACATCTCCCTGCCAGTACCCTTTACAACGTTCAAAGCTAGTTGTGGCTTCTACTCCGTTCTCTGACTTTATGAGTAGGACACTGGTCCACACACGCCACAAATCCTGGAGTGACAGTGTTTATTTAGAACCCAAACCCATCTTTCTCCTTTCTTAAACGCCTAATTTTATGTTACAGTAATTCACACATTGCCGAAAGTGCCGTCACTTGGGGCTGACGCACAGCAACCTTATGCACGCACTACAGAATGAAGCCCTGCCTGGTTATGTACCATCCTCACAGTCACGGCTATGTTGAGCCCATTGTGACAGCCATTGTGTCAATCTATCTTGATAAGGGTCTTCCTCTTCCTCACTGACCCTCTAAACTTGACCACCTCTGATGTCCTTCTCCAGGGGTGGCCCCTCCTGATAGCAGAGTTGCACTAGTACATTCTTACCAGAACTGGAGACACGCCTGATCCTCTGAGAACACAAGGCTCGATCAGAACTGAGATTTCTACTGTCGTTATTCCGCCTCAGGCAGGAAACAGAAGGCCCCACTTTGGCTTTTGGACTGGGTGTTTTCTTCGAACTGGAGGCGTCCGGTTTGCATAGACTCCTACCTGAGGTGGCTGCGGCTTTGGGTGCAGAGCCCTGTGGGAGGGAAAACTGTTAAGGCTTTAGTCCACATCACACTTTCCCTAAAGCATCTCCGTGTGGCGGCAGGCATGTGTGAGAAACATTTTCATTTTTTGCTTGTTTTTAAAATAACTTTATTGGCAAATAATCTGTATAGATAGTACAATTTAATAGCTCAATTATATCCAGAAGCGTTGTACAATCATAACCACAATTTCAGAGCAACTTCTTTCTTGTACGCATTGTTATTAGCTCCCTGCTTCCACCTAACCTCCCCCGCCATGCCCCTAAGAAACCATTAATTCAGTTACTGTCGCTTTAGATTTACCTATCCTAGATTTTTAAAAATTATTTTATTGGAGGCTCAAAAAACTCTTATCACAATCCATGCATACATCCAATGTATGTCAAATGCATTTGTACATTTGTTGCCCTCATCATTCTCAAAACATTTGCTTTCTACTTAAGCCCTTGGTATCAGCTCTTCATTTTTAGCCCCCACCTCCCCATATCTCCCTCCCTCATGAGCCCCTGATAATTTATAAATTATTATTATTTTGTCATATCTTACACTGTCCGGTCTCTCCCTTCACCACTTCCCTGTTGTCCATCTCCCGTATTTACATCCTTATAATCGGTTCCCTCTTTCTACCCCACCTTGCCTCTACCCTCTGGTATCGTCACTCTCACCACTGGTCCTGAAGGGATCATCTATCTTGGATTCCCTGTGTTTCCAGTTTCTTTCTGAACCAGTGTACATCCTCTGGTCTAGCCCGGTGAAAAGTAGAATTGGAATCATGATAATGGGGGTGGGGGGGAGGAAGCATTTAAGAACTAAAGGAAAGTTGTATGCTTCTCATTGCTACACTGCACCCTGACTGGCTCATCTCCTCCCCACGACCCTTCTGTAAGGGGATGTCCAGTTGTCTACAGATGGGCTTTGGGTCGCCACTCTGCATTCCCCCTCATTTACAATGATATGATTTTTTGTTCTTTGATGCCTGATCCCTGATCCATTCGACACCTCGTGATCACAGAGGCTGGTGTGCTTCTTCCATGTGGACTTTGTTGCTTCTGAGCTACATGGCCACTTGTTTACCTTCAAGCCTTTAAGACCCCAGATGCTATATCTTTTGATAGCTGGGCACCATCAGCTTTCTTCACCACCTTTGCTTATGCACCCATTTGTCTTCAGCAATTTTATCAGGAAGGGAGGCACCCACTGATGTGATTTTTTGGAGAAACATTTTCTACAGTGATGTGCCTGATTGGTTTTAATTTTAATTTTTACTATGAAGACATTCAAACCCTCTCGTTTGGATCTGGCACTTGTTTGTGTTTTCACCCTTCAGTAAATGCTTTTACAAGACCACCAAAGATTCAGGCTAGCGTTCGGTTCTCTCACGACAGGCCCTCCTGGAGTCACACAATACTGCTATTGACTCATCTTTCTTTGGTTTCTCTAACAAAGCTCTTTGTTTCCCTTCTGCTTGCTTGCTCATTTCTTCTCGGGGTGCTCCTCCCCTGTGCGTCCATAATGCTAGCTTTCCTAAAGGTACTAAACTTCACCCTCTCTTCTATTTCCTCATCATGTATGCTCCCTGGATGATCGTGCCAGCCAGTATATTGATGCATGAGAATTCTCATGTCCAGTAAGCACTCTCTTTTAACTTTTAAAAGCAGACTTTTAACTGCTTTCTTCTGCATCCTCCCTCCCAGCTCCCTTCTGGCATTGCAACTTAACAACAGTGATAATAATAATACCATGGGCTTATTTTGTATAATTAACAATAGTGATAATAATCATCTTATTGGCTCATTTTCTGTGTCTAACAGCAGGGATGATAATCCTATAGGTTTTCATTTGCTATCATTCATATATACGAGAGCTCTTACTCTCTGTTAAATACCATGTTGAGGACCTCACTTGTAACAATTCATCAAATTCTAAGAAACGCACAAGATTTCTAAAACTGAACTTATTTTGTCTATCCATCTCAAGATGTATCTCTTCCTGTAGTCACCGTAACATACTCCCTTTATAAAGTAGAGACTACTTCTAGATACTTCCTTTCTTCTTTCCTAAGCCCCTCTCTCTTGCTGGGGTTCTCTCTTCTCCATCTGCCCTAGTGCAGGTCTGTTTCCTTTTTTGACAGGACAAGTGAAACCAGGTCCTATCTTCCGGCCTCACTGACCTCCCATTCCTCTTTCAGTCACTGCTTGCGTGATCTCCGTGAAGCTCAAGTCAGACTGGGTGGGCACCTTCTAAGGCTTCTAGAAAAGTAAATTATTGACAACTCACCTAAGCTCGTCTGGCTGCCCCTGACCCCCTCTTCAGCGTGTCCCTGACTCCTCCCTCCCGGGGCTGCACCTTGGACTCTATCACACTCACAAATTGGAATCCCCCGAAGAGACAACCTCCATGTGTTTCTTCATCTTACACACATTCTTCCTGCCAGCCAGAAAATGGCTTTAGAGGCCACACGTGCCCTTCAAGTTCTGGCAGTAACCAACAGGGAATGCCTACAAACTTCCCTTGACAAGCCCCTCTCTTCTCCCTTTACCTGACCCTTTTCAGTTCTGTGCTACGCCTACCTCCAACTTTGCACTGAACAAACCCCGAGGGTCTGCTTTGTAATAAGAGCCCCTGTTCCAAGCACTGCGTCTGTCCAAGGGCTGTGTCTTCCTTCTCTGATCCCAGCACTGTATGCAGTGCACACTAGGCACACAGTAAATAGGTATGTTTTACACAGAGGAGCTCCTGGGTGGTTCAAATGGTTAGTGCGCTTCACTGCTAACACAGGGTGAGGAGGGGGGGTGGGGGGGCCTGGTGATCTACTTTTGGACAAACGAGCCACCAAAAGCACAGTTCTCCTCTGACACACACGGAGTTGCCAGTCAGAATTGACTGGATGGTGGCAAGTAGCTGATTGTATTCTACATATAGGAATGGGAACCTGAGGCTTATTCAAAATGCGAATGACCACCGGGTAAGCTACAATTTGATTTTCTCTTTACATAAAAAGAAGCTGACTCACGGAAACTAAGCAGTTTGCCTAAGGTCACTTACCCAATAAATGGTGGCACTTAAATTTGAAACCAAATCTAACTCCCCAATCCATGCTCTTCACCTCTATGCTACATATTTCTCATTAGTGTTCTTCTCTGTTTGTTTAATAAGTCATGGGAAGATAGTTTATGAGAGAGATAGGGAAAGGCCAACGCTGAAGAACTGGTTTGAAGTCCTACCTAATGCACAATCACCAATCAAGGGTCTGCATAATGAATAACTACATTCAACCCTTTGAATTAAATTAAAACCCAGATATTACAGTAAAATCAAATTCCATGCTCGAAACAGGAAAGTTCCTGAAGCTCCAGAAAACCCTGACCTCCGAAGAACTGTGAGATTACAGGTAGCCCAGGGATTGATAAGTCAAGGCCCAACTACCCTGGGAACTCCTGGGACATTAACGTCCCTGCAGGCCTAGATTCAGAACCTGGGTACTGTCGAAGTGACCAACCAACCAGAGTTTGAGGAAAATTCACAGCAAGCAGTGACTCATTCATTCCACTTTCCAAACGTACCAGGCCTGGAGCCTGTTTGTCCATCAAGAATCTAGTTGTTAGAACCAACCTTTTGTGCTCTCAGTCAAGGACTTCCTTGGTCCTAACATTAATTTTTAAAACCAAAACATCTCTAAATGTCTTAACCCAATAATATTTTGAGTTGACTTTTAACTCATGGTGACCCCTGTGTGTCAGAGTAAAACTGTG